GAACAACAACAAGAGTTTTACATTACAACAGCAAGAAAAACACAAAACAAGAGTTGCACTGTGCTGCGCCCTCCCCCCGCGCCCCCTACCCGCCGTATTTTTGTTAAAGCCGCTCTCAATTGTAACATCAGCCCCCGCGCCCCGCCCATCGCCGGTTTGCATGACAACAACGAGAACAAGAACAACAACAAGAACAACAACAACAACAACAAACAACAAACAACAAACAACAAACAACAAACAACAACAACAACAAGAACAACAACAACAAGAACAACAAGAACAAGAAGAACAAGAACAACAACAACAACAAGAAGAACAACAACAACAACAACCAACAACAACAACACCAACAAGAACAACAACAAGAACAACAACAACAATAACAACAAACAACAACAAACAACAAACAACAAACAACAACAACAACAACAAGAACAAGAACAAGAACAACAAGAACAAGAAGAACAAGAAGAAGAAGCAGAAGAAGAAGAAGAACAACAAGAACAACAACAAGAGTTTTACATTGCAACACAAGAAAAACCAAAAACAAGAGTCGCACTGTTCCGCTCTGCGGGGGGAGGCACTGCGCCCCCCCCCCGCGCCCCCCACCCGCCGTATTTTTGTTAGAGCCGCTCTCACCTTGCGAGCTCATTGCACAGCAGAGCACCACCAACACCACAACTACCCTGAAGCAGCACGTCGCCGTTGTCGTCAACTACCCTGAAGCAGCACGTCGTCGCCGCCGTCGTCGTCGTCGTCGTCGCCGCCGCCGCCCGTCGCGCACACTCGTCCCTCGTGTGCGCACCGGCCGCCTCGACTCCTCCTCCTCCTCCTCCTCCTTCCTCTCACCTGCCACTGTCGCAAAAAACACCGACCACTGGCGCAAAAAACACCATTATTGGGGCACCGTCGCAAAAAACACCCCGTCGCAAAAAACACCGGCTACCGGTCAAAAAAACACCGATCAACATAACCGTCTGGAAATACACCGGTTACCGTCGCAAAAAACACCAGTCCCCAAAATTTTGATCCCTTAGGAAGATAAGTTGATGTAATGATCCCTGTTAACGTAGTAGTCAGAGGGGGTGGTGGATTTTGATCTCTCAACAAGATAAGTTCATGTTCTTATTATCATCAACATATAAGTTAATAAATGTTAATAAGTCAGAGGGGGTGGCAAATGTAGATCCCTTTATGAAGATAAGTTGAGGATATGGATAGGATCCTTTGGATCATTCCCCCATTCCCTATCAAGCACCAGAAAGAAGATAATGATGATGATGGTGATGATGATGATGATGATTCTCTTGAGGTATGGAGCAACGTCCGGGTTGGAGGGAACATGTTTAAACGCCATTTGAACCTTCCGGGCAACACACAGTGCCTGGCCATATTATTACGTTGTTAAAGAGTAATAAGCAGCAATCATGTATATATATATATATATGTATAGAGAAATCATATACACAAGATTTTGGGATTTTCAATATTTTGTGCACTGGACTGCATATACACTAAACGCTCCTGCACAAATTCCCCAGGGCACAAGCCTAGAACTTTAGCCAAGACCTTGCGTCCCACCCCGCAATGTGGTCCTTGAAATGCTTCAGGACGGAGGTCGGACCCAGCTGCTGAGCTTCGCAGCCCCGGCACTAAAAACTGCGCTGTCAATCGGCCGGTTGCACTGGATCTCTTTCATGGCACCCACTGAAGTGCCGATCAGAAGGCAACAAGTTTTCTGGGCAAGTGGCAGGTTGCAGCTGCAAATGGTGCTGGCGCCATCAAGAATGCGAGAGTGATACTGCGAGTGCTATGGCAGTGGCGAGCAAAGCTGCTTTCACAAGACACGACTTTGACAAGTGCCTGGGTTTTTGAACGTATGATTGGTGGTGGGATCTGTTGGGCCCGTCACCATAGACTGTACATGATTTGACTATCTCTTGCTGAGACCTCATTCCTTCTAAAGCCTCAAGACCTTTTTGTGGTTGCTCAATGGTTTCTTTTGAAAAAATGGCCTAGCCCAAAATTGGATAATAAAAATCAATTCCTGAGTTCCGTTTTTTTGAATAGCCAGAACTGGGGGTATACCCAATTTTCAATCACGGGAAATAAGGCCAAGTTGGGATAGTTATCTCCAGTGAACCATCATTCTAGTGACGTCACGGTAAGGTAATTATTTTTGCAGGTTAACAAATCCCACGAATCAAAGTGGTATTTACTTAACTTCTTTGCATATATATAGTAACTATGTATATATATATATAATCAGATCTATTTACACATCATACCCTCTGGTAAACTAACATAACTATGGAAAATCACAATTTCTAATGGGAAAATTTACTATAACTGGTGATTTTCCATAGTTGTGTTAGTTTACCAGAGGGTATATCCTATGTCTATCCATCCCCATTAATCACCTCCATCGCTTCACCTTCAAAAACCTCCCGCGCCACAGCCGGCCCCAAAAATGGGCCCCCCAGCGGCGGCGCTGCAATCTGCGCTGCTCCCGCAGGAACCAGAGCTGAGAGGTGAGGAGGCCTCAGGAAAGCACGGCGGGAAGCACGGTTCATAATGGTTAATAATGGTTAATAATGGTTAATCATATGGGTGAACAATGGTTGAATCATGATGATTCAATGGGATTTACCAACAATTTGGATTGGGATATAGAATTCTTGGGAATCATAAGTGGGAGAATCCACTGGGATATAATGGGAATATATATGAATATACAAGGTGGTGCCCCAGTTCGGAATCGCAAAGTTGGTGCACCTAACTCTAATAGCTATGGTTTATGGTAGATATATTGACATACTTACTATGGTTATAAACCAACAAACTGGGGGGGCACCATCTTGTATCATCCAAGTATGAATGGATTGGTTTTCACGGGAAAAACAGGAAAACCCAATGATCTTAATGGGAAAATCATCTATGGTTTCCGGTTAAGAGTTTCCCTTAAACCATTCCATTGAAAGTAGCCTCTGGTGGTTTCAAATAGCCTAAGGGGTGATCAAGGGGTGATTATCATGGGATGATAATGATTGACCAACAAAAATGGTGATATGATGGGGATCATCTAAGTATAGCCTCTGGTGTTTCGTTACAGTTTGCGAACTGGAAAATCCACCATGTTTGATAGGCAATTCATCATACGCCATGGCTTCCCCAGCTTTGTTAAACTTCAAGAGGGTATGGGACATCATATCTGGTTGGTGGTTGACCTACCCCTCTGAAACATATTCCCAAAATATGGAAAAATAAAAATGTTCCCAACCACCAACCAGATATAATTCCATCCCACGTTCATATTTCACACCACCATTCTATGGTCACAAATATGCCATTTCATCCTCCACTAAACCATGGTTTACGGGCGGTTTATATTGGGGGAATTGAGAGACCAAATAATAAACATACGGTCTTGGGAATGTCTTGGTTACCTCAATGTTGAAAAACACCTTATCAAAATGAAGAACCTGGGATGATTTTTAGCATGGTTGTCTGATAGACTAGCTAATGTTTATTTCCAAGGGTGCAACAAAAATAGTTAGTTTTGATTTGGCAAAAAAAATACCTGGGTCATAGCATTTTCTGATGTTAAAACATTCAAAAAACGCATTTGTTTGATCAAACAGAAAACGCATTTGTTTGATCAAACAATGTCAAACATCTTTAACTCACTTTCTCTTGTTGGTAAAAAACATGTTTTTTCATGGTTACATGCCTTTCACTGAGATCCTCTCCGAAAAGAGAAAAACATCTTGTGTATCTAGTTTAAACCAGCTCAAGCCTTAGAACCGCAATTTTGCAATGATCAAATACCATCGAACACCTCAACTCCGCACAATTTCTCGTGTCTAATGTTTCAGCTTGATTTAAGCCTTAAACAATGCATTTGTTTCGAAGAGACATGCCATGATAATGGTAAACCTAGTCACCATCCCTAAAATCCCTAGGCGTGCTAGGTTTATGACATAAGGTTTCCCACATTATTAACCATTCTTCATGGGATTAGCCACCAGTTAACCATTATGAATCGACAATCATTCTTCATGGGATTACCCACCAGTTAACCATTATGAATCAACAATCAACATAAAATAGTTTTAATCAACAGTAATCTGATTATTATTTGATGTTTATCATGGGTTTTCCAACCTATCATGAAAACCCACAATACTCTGATGCTTCCATGCTTCATAACCGCATCTGATGTTTTCCAACCACTTGCCTATTATTTGATGTTTCCATGCTTCGGCTCGGCTCGTTTCGCCGCGGGCCCCGATGGGCCCCGGGCGCTTGCATCGTCGCAGCCACTTGCGGCGGGACCGCAGGGACCGCAGGGACCGCTGGGACCGCTGGCATGGCGGACAAATGGGTCCTGGCGAAGCCGAGCCATGGAGTCCCATGGAATATGGGTGCACAATGGTTAATGATGGTTAAGAATGGCTAATAGCTGTGGTTAAAATTAGTTAATAGCTATGGTTAAAAAAGGTCAATAGCTATGGTTAATAATGGTTAATATTGGTTCACAATGGCTAACAGCTATGTTGATCCTTCCAAGCACAACAATTGTGTCTTTGGCCACCACATGAATCTATCTAACTTGCTTCACTGGAAAAATTCTGACAAGAAATCTTTGGCACATCCATACAAGGTGGTGCCCCAGTGCGTTTGCTAAATTGGTGCAACTAACTCCAATAACTATGGTCTACCAGTAGTACCCGCACGAGGCGGGGCGGAAGTTGCCTTAGGGATATATTATAAGACCTTTCTCATCTATAGAACTTGCATGCGCCGTGCGCCAGCCAGGCCCGTGCGTGCGTGTTTTGTGCGAAGCTGTTGCAGTGTTGTTGTCCAAGAACATGACCTGCGCGCGACCCCGGTGCAATGCAACGCCAAGCAAACACTTTCCTCACACTTCACAGTGCACGCTTCACACTTCACACTTGCACTTCGCACTCGACACTTCATCTCATCTCAAATCATGTGAGCTCTTCTCACCTCACCTCAGCTCTTCTCATCTCATCCCACCTCTTCTCACATGTCATCTGAGTAAGGTTCTTCTCCACTGTTTTCATCTCATCCGGGCACTGATCAACCTTTCTCATCTCCTTGAAGTTCGTCTCAACTCATCTTAGCTGTTCTGCACGCCAGAAAGCTCTTACTGTCAGAGAGAAGTCTCTTGCACCAAAAAAACATTGGGCGCAGAAAGTTTTTGCACACAGACACTTGCGACACAAATGCGTTTAGACAGAGAAGCCTTTCCGAAATACTTTGTACTACAAAGCTTGCACAAAGGACTTTCCAGTACTACTTTGTACTACAAAGCTTGCACAAAGCACGTTCCAGTACTACTTTGTGCTACAAAGCTTGCACAAGCACTTCCCAGTACTACTTTGTACTACAAAGCTTGCACAAAGCACTTCGCAGCACTACTTTGTTGCACAAAGTATTTCCCAGTACTGCTTTGTACTACAAAGCTTGCACAAAGCATGCTCCAAGTACTACTTTGTACTACAAAGCTTGCATAAAGCACGTCCCAGAACTACTCTGTACTACAAAGCTTGCACAAAGCACGTTCCAGTACTACTTTGCACTACAAAGCTACTACTTTGCACTACAAAGCTTGCACAAAGCACCTTCCAAGTACTACTCTGTGCTACAAAGCTTGCACAAAGCACGTCCCAGTACTACTTTGTATTACAAAGCTTGCACAAAGCAGGTCCCAGTACTACTCTGTGCTACAAAGCTTGCACAAAGCACGTCCCAGTACTACTTTGTACTACAAAGCTTGCACAAAGCACTTCCCAGTACTACTTTGTACTACAACGCTTGCACAAAGCGCTTCCCAGCACTACTTTGTACTACAAAGCTTGCACAAAGTATTTCCCAGTATTACTTTGTACTAGAAAGCTTGTACAAAGCTTGCACAAAGGACTTTCCAGTACTACTTTGTACTACAAAGCTTGCACAAAGCACGTTCCAGTACTACTTTGTGCTACAAAGCTTGCACAAAGCACTTCCCAGTACTACTTTGTACTACAAAGCTTGCACAAAGCACTTCGCAGCACTACTTTGTTGCACAAAGTATTTCCCAGTACTGCTTTGTACTACAAAGCTTGCACAAAGCATGCTCCAAGTACTACTTTGTACTACAAAGCTTGGGCAGACCGAGCCGCTGGGCTTCTTCTTGATGGTGTAGATAGGTGTTTCGGGACAACGTCCCTCGCCCCCCCCCTTACATTGGGTCAATGTTCCCTCCGTCAGGGAAGCCCCACCCTGCGGGGTTGTGACTTTGGCCACTTGCTTCACTGGAGAAAGCCGGACAAGAAATCTTTGGCACATCGACCCATAACAATTCCTGGCTTCCATACACATTGATCACAATCACTCGATCTCGTTTGTTGATGGCCAGGTCAGAGTACCAACAAGTCCTGACATCTGCGTAAGATGGTCAAGGAAAAATACAGCAAATCATGTTCCCGTGGTGGATTCCCCGTGGTGGATTTACTGGGAGAACAAAGAATCTCAAAGAATCATCCACTCAGCAAATCTAAGAGGTGTGCATTGTTAGTTGATATCGCCCTCAACTGGCCATTGTTTTTATTGACACCACCATGTCTGTGTGCTGTCATGATATCGGGATCATTGCTTTGATTTTCATGCCGGCTATGTTTGAGTCATTTCCTGGTCAACATCTGCGGGGCAACCAATGACTGAGAGAGGATGTTATTCCCGTTATTCCCAAAAGAAAATCGGCCTGGTACAAAGTTGGGCCCCCCTAGATAGCTAAATTTTGTTTATAGTTTACAGTATAACTCAATTAACTGTGATTTATGATACTTATGACTATAATTAATGGAGGTTATAAACGAACAAACATGACTGAGGGGGGCTCTCAACTTGCCAACCCAATGCGCTGCGATTAAGGAGGCAATTTGATGGAAGTTTCCAAACAGATGGAAAATGAGACATGTGGTGTTTCGCACAACACTAGAACGCTACGTTCGAAGATTATCTCCCGGGAGTAACGTTGAGCCAAAACCAGGTGACCATGGTTGCAAGTCCAATCGCAGCAATATAATATATATATATATATGACAAAAAACTCGTGGTATTCCACAGAAATATTGAAGATGCAGCATATATTTCATTGTATTACCATCCATCTTCAATATTAATGTGCGTAGAACAAATAACCATCCCCCAAATCACCATGTTTGGAGGTGGTATAAACCATTCCCAGATGGCTGGTTTATGACATTGTTTTGCCCACATTAAATATATATATATATATCATATATATATATATATATATCATATATATCATATATATATATCATATGTATCATATATATCATATATATATATATCATATATATATATATATATCATATATATCATATATATCATATATATCATATATATCATATATATCATATATATCATATATATATATAATATATATATATATATATATCATATATATCATATATATCATATATATATATATCATATATATCATATATATATATATATATCATATATATCATATATATATATATCATATATATCATATATATCATATATATCATATATATCATATATATCATATATAATATATATCATATATATCATATATATATATCATATATATCATATATATCATATATATCACATATACATATATATATATATATCATATACAACACATATATCATATATATCATATATTTAAATCCCAACTAGTATAAAAAATGTGTGTTGTTCTTTCCGAGGATCCTTGCCGCTGATCCGTGGAACAGCCCAACTACCTTGAAACCTCGCCGGTTTTGTTCGGCGCCTCACCGTGTTGGGAACCTGATGGTACTGTCCTGCGACCGTGGTGCCATGTGGGGAAGCTGGAAAATGGTGGCAAAACGGCTGATTTTACTGGGAAATGGCGTGGGGAAATTGCTTATTATTGGGACTATCACTGGGGATATCAGTGGGGATATCTTAATACAAGGTGGTGTTCCAGATCCTTAGCGAAGTTTGTTTATTTCACTAGGTTACCTGTTGGGTAACTATAGTTCATGGGGTCAAAACAAATAAACCTTGAAAGTTGGGGCACCTCCAGTATATCCCCATTAAAACACATTTCCCCACGCAAGTTCGCCGTTAAATCAGCATTTTGGCATGGTTAATTAAACCAGATCAGCATCTTGATCAACGTCCTATAAATGTTCCCTTCATCCAAATTTGGAAAATCAGTCTTTGGAGAATCTCGAGGAAGGCAGCCTTTCGTTGGTCCAAAATGAGCTGAGAACTTTGAAATTCACCTTGAAATTATGATTTCGAGGTCAGTACCCAGTGCGCCTCTTATCTTTATGTGTATATAAACATATATATATATATATGTGTGTTTGCACATATCTATTGGCCATTTTAATAGGAACAAATATGATAATTGATAATAAGAATCTATTGGACTTGGGGGGTACCATATTTTCAAAGAAGCCTATTTATGGGCCCTGGTGCAATGTGTGATGCTACAATGCAAAATCCTTATGTTCATTTTTGCGATAAGGATTCACGTGGAATATACATTCCCAAATGATGGATTTCCCATAGCAAATCATTTGAGGATACAAATAAGGGCTGTTACAGTTGAATCATCCTTTGCAAAGAGCCAACATTTGGCAGGATGTTTTACATTTTCAATTTACAGCCCAAACAAACTATTTGCTTACCATTCCCCTTGCGGTTTACCAAGAAGAGCCGTCAACACAAAAAGCTTCAGCCGTCAACACAAGTTCAGATTTCATCTGGCACCTAGAAAAATGGCTAATCTTTGATACCACTGGAACAAAGAAACACGTGTCATTCCCCCAATCACCCTTGGAGGCAGCTCGAAAATGGGCAGCTGCAAAAATGCCCAGGTTCCATCATGATCCTGTTCTTGTTAAACCCAATGATTGTTGGGCATCTCACCATTTTCGTTCCTCAAATGATCCTATAGATAATATATATACATATCTCAATCTACTCTGCTTGATCCACAAACATTTTCCATTGAAATTGGCCAACTAAATTGAGCAGTCGCTGAAAAACATACTCAACTAAATTGGTCGGCTACACCACCATCTTATGGCGCTTGAGTCACTTTTTTGTTGGCAAGTTAACCAAACACATTGGGAATCCTCACCATTTCTACCATTTCTCCCGCAGTGAAACCAAAACACCCAAGGTTACCATTGATGGCTGGCTATTCTCCTAATTATGATCAGTCAATCTATCTCGATCATCCCAAATTTTATTCACAATTGTTGTCCCCAACAATTTAACATACCACCTGGGTATTTAACATAGCCATGGAAAATCACCATTTTTAATAGGTAAACCTCTATAAATGGGCCATTTCCCATGGCTATGTTAAATAGCCGGAGGGTACCGTTACTAGTTCGTGCTTGGTTTGTACATGTCTAAATTATTTCAAAACCTACTAGCATTGTGGCAAACTTAAATGTTCCCATCTTTTTCGGCTTGGTTCAAATGAATATGCAAAGTTTATATACAGGTATATATGGGAGTTTCTTAAAATGGGGGTACCCAGAATGGATGGCTTATAATGGAAAATCCCTATCTAAAATGGATGGTTTGGGATATCCCTATTTCAGGAAACCTCCAGCATTTGCTTCGGGGGTCGGAGAAGATCAAAGGATCACTGTCCAGGTGAGTGTCCAAAAGCCATCCTGGGAAAACCACTTATGATGGTTGGTTCATGTGAGTTCTCATGATTCATAAGTCAGAAAGAATCACCAATACATTTGGTCTTAGAAGCCCCTATACAAAATCATGAATCAACCATCATTTATCAATTTGCATCTCTTATCTCCCCGGACTCTTGATGGTTAAAACCCATGACACTCCTACAGGTTGGTGCCCCATAGTTATCTCAGCTGGTCTAGAATTCCAATAAGATTTGGGTTAATGGTAGATATATCGAACTAGTTTCTATGGTTTACAAACCTACTTATAACTGAGACAAAAGCATCTACGATTCCTGTGGTTCCATAGTTACTATGGTAGATGTATCTATGGTTATATGATTCTTACATATCCTTACTATATAAAGCCATGGTTACTATGGTTACTATGCTTCTGTAGCTACTCTGTTTTATGTTGCATAAATCCCGTCATGGTTTCAGCTGTCCCCATGATGACCCGGCCCAAGTCAAGCAGGTCCTGGGATGACCACGGGGCCCGACATGGACTGTGGGGAGATGGGTTGCGGCAACGAGGGAGACCTGGCGCGACGTGGTTCGTGGGCTTGATGAATCAACTATGAAGCACCATTTATAGTGGAATTTCAATGGCCATAATTATGGCCATAAATTATTTTAGATGATTATTATAGATGAGTAACAAATCAACCATAAAATAATCTGGTGATAAAATGGTATTTCATAAAAATGGTTGTATTATAATAACCATATAATAATAATGGTACAATGGTAACTATGAACCAATTAAAACACCAGTTATAGTGGATTTTCAAGCTAACCATGTTTGATCACCATTAAACAATTATACCCATCATAAATCCCCATATCCCCAGTATAATCCTTTATACCGCTATTTTTGATGGTTAAATCAGCCATATCGCCATCATATCCCCATGTTTGATGACACAAGAGGGTATACCATTTATGTGATTATAGAAGTTGTTACAATAAAAAAACACAATGTCAAATGTGGATGTTCAAGCTAGCGTCATGACACCAAAGGGTATCTCATAGCCTCTGGTAATTGAACGTAGGTAGTGAAAATTGCCTTAGAAATAGTTGATTTAGTTAACTTACCCATTAACAAAATGTGATTTTCCATAGCAAACTGTTAGTTTACCAGGGTGTAACTGGGGGGCCTTACTTTTTAGTTCAATGTCGTTCATAGTTTTTGTTGATCCATACCCATATGTGTTGAGTTTCTCATGGATGATTATAGGGATCCTAGCTTGGGGTTTCTATATAAAAATACACATATATACATATATCATATATATATATCCTCCCGGTCCTTGGGTCATGTCATGGAACACCCATCCTCCCATCAGATCACCCGAATTCCACGGTCCCACACATGTTCGTAAAACTGGAGAATTTGATCAACATTAATGGATGATATTCACTGGGGTACCATTATTTGTAAGGAAAACCACCATATGAAATAATAATCTCTGGTTCCAACATGGTTTTCTCATGGTATGATATCTATTTCTAACACCACTGGTTGATGGTTGACCTGCCCCTCTGAAAAATATGAGTTCGTCAGTTGGGATCATCATTCCCAATCTATGGACAGTCATAAAATGTTCCAAACCACCAACCAAATAATATTAATCATTGATTATCATTATTAACCACTATTAACCACTATTTCCAATCACCACCTTGAAACCACAGATTGTTCGATCCCGAGTCCTTCGAACAACACATCCGACACGGCCTCCGAGGTGAAGTCCCATGGTGGAGCATGGGCTGTGGGACCTGCACAGACCTGGAGGAGTCGATGGTAACATGTTTCCCTGGTTGGTTTATAAAAAATGGATGATTTGGAACCCAATCATGGAAAATCCCAATCTAAATGTTGATTTGGAACCAAAATATACGTATACCAATGTATAGATTGGGATTTTCCAGGTATTTTTATAATCTATATAAAAATGGATGGTAAATTTAATGGTAACCATGTAAACCTATGTAAATGGTTGGTGATTTAATGTTACCAACCTATGAAAAATTGGTTTATAATGGGAAAATCCCAATCTAAAAATGGATGATTTGGAAACTCCCATATCAATGGAAAAAAAACCATCATATCAATGGTATAATAGGGAACATCAATGATGATTTTGATATGGGGTATCCCTATTTTAGGAAACCAATGGTTTGGGGGTATTTTAAAACAGCCAATGGTTTAAAATACCAGTAAATGGTTTATAATGGGATGATAACTGGGGGTATCCCTATTTTAGGAAACCCCCATATCAACGGTATATACCTCTGGTAATGACTGTTACAGTTAGCTATTGAACATGGCCATAGAAATGGTTGATTTTCCCATTGATAGCATGGTGATTTTCCATAGTTATGTAACAGTGTACCAGAGGGTACCCCAGAGGGTCAAAGTTTACATGACAGGACGGGGAAAAAAAGTCGAGCTCGCGTTCAGTTGAGATATGGCTGTGGCTGAATTCTATGGTTTATGGTAGATATAACTATAGTTAATGGTTTATAAACTCCATTAACTATAGTTAAATCTACCATAAACCATAGTTAGTTAACCATAATTATTGTATTCATGCGGTTTATAAACCAACGTTCACATCACTGGGGGGCACCATCCTGTATGGAACATCACCATTTTTGTAACATGTAAATCAACGAACATTTTATGGCCATTTGTTTCTAGCCATGTGAGTTTACCAGAGGGTAACGTGTATGGAACATGTATGCAATGTAACATATATGGAACACCTATGTAATATGTATGTCAATGATGTCGCCCCCCCGGTTCTGTTGGACAGGTACAGGATGGTCCCCACTTTTCCACTTTCCCGGTTTCATCGTGTGGCTTTAGGTGACAGGTGACACTTCGCAGCCATTGGAATGAACCAGGACCCAAATTATGGATCGTTGCCCGTTGTTTGTTTGCTCACACCATTTTTCCTAGGACATATTCTGTATGTATATATATATGTATATATGTGTATATATATATATGTATGTATATATATATGTATGTATTGTATGTATATATATATATATATTACCTGGCTGTCTTGATTTTCTGCTCATTTCTATCTTGGTGAGATCCCAAGGTTAAAATCAGTCATGCTGAATTCCCATTTACTATCTGCTAATCAAACATGGTTTGAGTGAAAATCCTCAATTCTAGATGACTTTCCCACTCAAACCTGCATGGAGTTCGGGGATGTCCAGATGGTATATTCCCATTATATCCGATATATCCCCATTAAATCCCCAGTGGATTATCTTAAGATCCCCAAGAATTATAGATCCCTATCAATCCAAATTCTGGTGAAATCCCCCGAAATCATCATGAAAATAAACCGATGAAATCCCATCAAATCACCATGCAAAATTCCCTAAAGAAACCCACTAAATCATCACTAAATCACCATGAATTCACCATAAACCATAACGAAGTCCTCGCTTCCCCCAAGAATTTTTCCACCGCCAAGGCACCCCGTTCCAGGATGCATCAGGGAGCCTTGGGAAGCCTTGGTTTGTGCACTTCACTAGGGAAACGTTGGGTTATGGTGGGTTTATGGTGAGAAAACATGTTGGAAATATTTGGAAATAAAACTTTTAACACATATTTGGTAAAAAATGTATATTCAGATTTGATCATATTTGACTGTATTTGGATGGGTAGTAAACCAACTTTTAACGAGGGTACCACCTTGGAATCCCCTTCCGCCGGAGAAGAACTCCTCCCAGATGACAATCAGTGGGTATGATAACCGTTGTGGGGATGAGTCAAAACCTTCCTAGCCCTGCGAACGCCAAAACAATGGCTAGTTATGTTCATCCGACAAATATATAATATATAGTACAAGTTACAAGATGTTACAAGTATCACTAGTGAAAACTATACCTCACCAGAATTGCCACATGAAATCAATGAAATGACTAGCCTTCACCAGTCGCTTTCATAGAGGATGATAATGGATAATATATGGATAATACTGGCAATGCCAAGGACAGCACCAGAAACCTCCCAAAGTCCTCATCGATGGCTAATCTAAGATACCCTGTTTTTGCTAGTTGGTAATCATATAGAGACCCTCCACGATCCTCCAAGTAGCCATCAAATAACGGTATGTTTTTGCCACATACTTCTAGTATGTTTACCATTTCGTGGATCTATTCTATTTATATATCCGTTTAAAGAACATCTATTATATTTATATATCCGTTTTTTGTGGAGGTATTCTATTTAATATCCATTTAATTATTCCATTTGGTAACAAAATCTGAAACAATTCCCCGTCCGAGGCTTCCCTGGAAAATCACATTTTTGGTTTGGCTTCCCCAATTTTTTTCTCATTGGATGGCCTATTTACCCAACGAGCTGCGAGCTGGAAAATCTTCATTGATAAATGAGCTTCCCATTTAGATATCCATGAGAATGTTTGATCATTTAGCAATGAAAATTTTCCAGACATGAATGTCTAAATGGAAAATCTTAACTGATATCTATCATTCTTAATATGTTTTCCACACGATGAAGACTATAGACTATAGATGACTATAGACTAAAACGCCCATTGCAAACAAAAGAACGATCTATAGGATGATGTTCACATTCAAACTTCCATTCAACATACTATGACTTTTCCCGCGACTTTATTTTTGTTACGCTTACCATGCGCAACCAATCTCGCAAGCCATTTAAGTGTGCCCAGTAAAACGCTCAGGCGCTTTGTCTCTGTGAGTCTCGTATGTGTACCATTTTCGCAAGCCGCTGTATCAAGGTAAATACCCAAACTGCATCTCGCTGAATGCTTATCACCCCTGTGCAGTGCAAATCCATCCACAACATCTTTGGTCTTTTGATTTAGGACATTGAAATTCCGTTAAATCCCATGAAATCCCATTATTTAAGACAAAAAAGACATGAGCTTGTTCTTGTTCAAACATCCTGCTCATGTCTTTTCAAAGTTCTGTGATTTCCTGCGTTCACGAACAGCCAAAAAACATGGGTTTCACCATGGCTTTTCCACATCTATTGGTTTACCGGAGGCTACAAAAAATTGGCTTGTAGATGTGGATTCTATAAATTGATTACCATCATTGAGAATTGATTGATTTACCACTTAACTCTGATTTTATCCACATACTTATCAATGGTGAATGGTAACTTGAAGTTTTAAAATTACAATTTTCATGTTTTTTCCTTGTTGTTTTTCAAGTCAACTACATGGTCAACCTTCGATAGTCCACACAAAAATGATCTGTTGCTCCTTTTGGCCATTTTCCCATAGCAAAAAACGAAGGGATTGAACTACCCACCCAGTCAGTTGGGGATGAAAAAAACACATTTCCATAGGGCCAGGTGGAACACCAAACATGGCTGCCGCGGTGCTGTCATCGTCACCAATGGCTGGTAGGACTTCTGCGACACATGCGAAGGCGAGCCAGCTGCCTCCTGGGGGTTTGTGCTTGACTTTTTTGGCTCATTTTGACTGGCTGTCCCACATTTTTTCCTTTTAATTAATGATTAGTTTTCTATTGAGTACAGAACTCACTTATTTGGCTGTTTGAACCGCGAAAAATATCGAAAAATAGTATATGATATGGTGCATTAGTTTCTTAGCTAAGTTGGTTCATGACTACAACAACTTGGGGTTAGATATTGGTAGATAAAACTCACTGTCGTTAATTCGGCGAATAAAGCAACGAACACAAGTGCGGGTGGCCATGGTTCAGTGAAATTTTAAGGACCCTAAAATGGAGGGACTCTACCATATAAGGCCATGTGTTCTGGGGCTATTCCTTGAAATTAAGCCCTTAATTACATAGGCCTTATATGTGTAGGTATCTCAATTTAGGTCCTTGGTGGTTATTCAAAATGGTGAGGTAATATATATATATATTATCATTTTTGGATGGAAACTCTATTCGTATACCTCCAACTGGTTCTCCATTTTGATATGGATTTCCATAGCTCCTTGGCTCCCTAGCACCTGATTCGCCAATATTTTTAGGGCCAACATGCCAATTCCCAAGAGATTTCCCGAATATGTTTCATGATAACACATCACCTGAAGCAAAGCAAGGGAATTGGTCTCAAATCCACCAAAAACCATTGGATCTCAGGGAACCTGAGAGTCAGATTCAACGGAAACGGGTATGTGTTTGATGCATTGCCAATCTTAGATACACCCATTGTATTAAACATATGAAAAATTGTGATGGCATCCACTTGAACATGGTGATTTTATTTGATTTTGTCAAAAAACATATTCCAATATCCAAACATATGGTGGGTATGACCAACCACAACTGGGCATTTCCCCAAAGAGCATCTTGGCTTTACCATCCAGTAACGTGTGATTTCACTGTCAACGTCAAAAGATCACAATAAAATACAAAAACATGGTGTGTCAGGGGGCTTCTGAACATAAGGGTTGGCCTGACAATAGTGTACCTCAAAATCTCGTAGTTTATCATGTTTATCATCATGTTCCCTATTATCTAGAGCAATTTAAAGGGGTTTGTCACTGCAGTTCCAGGCACACGCCCGGAAGTTGGAAGTTCATGAACTGGGTGGACAATTTTGGACCATTTTGGGTATGGGACCATGCGGAAAGACACAAAATGGTGCCGACTTAAATAAAGTTCATACCACTCACTGACTATGCGAGTGAATCCAACATTCTCCAACCCACTTTCAGACAAACATAGACAAACCCATCCAAGCATGGCAGCTGCCACACTGCAACCAACAACATTCCCGCTGTGCCTGCTTTTTTGCTTCCTCAACGGTCCAAACCTGCCAAAGTCCACAAATGTTGCAGGATACAAAGGATGTCAGCGTGCAACCTCAAATCAAACTTAGGATGTCTTTGTACGAATAGGTTGAACGCGCTATCTTTTCTGCATTGAACCTCAAACTGTTCAAATTTCATTGAGGATGACATTGAAGTTCAATCCCAAATCTCTCGTTCTGCTCGCGTTTGGTATTCATGAATAGAATAGAATGCATATACATATATATTATACTTAATAGTGATAATGATATAATCATGACTCATTAGATTAACCTGAAATAATCGGCTATTTAGAGATAGTTTGGGCAATCCAATTCCTATCATTCCATTAATGTCGCCACATGAGGCCAATTTATCCCGAAGCTTGCTCTAAGCATGGAAACATCGATCAGGAAAACATGCCATAATTTGGACTACTCAGAGGTATATTAGGGTTCCCCAGATGTGCCTGCGCCATTTTTTCGGGTAGGAAAAAAACATGATCCTTGCTGTAGCCACCTAAACCTGCAATTGGGGACGTGAGCTGCTCTGAAATGCATTGCATCAAAACACTGGCCCCGTGCCACGAAGATTTTCATGAATATATTTGGACGAGAAAATGTCGCCGCCCGGCGGATTTTTTTAAGGGTTTGAGGCCGTGGTGCATGGTGAAGTTTGTGGTGGAATTTCGGTGAATCTGTTTGAAGAGGACAATGCAAGCAAATAACCTTTGCCGATTCTTCGCCGCAAACCTCGTCGGCAAAACTTTGCCAGCAAAAGTTCGACAAAACGCAAGGTATTTGCATTTGACAAATACATAGTTTAAGGGCACACAAACACAAACATGCATGTTCATCGGGATAAACCTGGCAACGAACAACAGTTGGCCAGGACTCTTGCGGAAATATCTGCTGTCGGATCTTCCATCGCCATGTGTTTTTTGCAAAGGTATACCGGTAGACAAAAGGACCAAACATGATATGTGATGGCTTTAGGTATGCCTATGTTTTTCCAATCATGCTAGAAACGATTGGAACATTAGGTACACAAATGTGCTATCATTTGAGTTTGTCTTGAAACAGAGTACCCTTAAGTGTCGCCGTCATTTGCCAATCATCATTTTGTTCTGTTTTGTGGTACCTCCCCCTTTTCAGACACACCCATTTTGAGGTTTCCTAAATCGGGGTACCCCTAACTCATCCAAATAAGATTTTCCATTATACCCCATCCAGCTATTGGGGTATCTCCCTCTTTTTTTCCTTATCATGCTCAAGGACCGCCCTGCTATCTCCCTTGTAGGAACCCCCTGCTTTTGTTTTGGGACACCCAAAGCCGGAGAAACCTGCGCTTGGAGCTTGTTGTGAATCGCCGTGGAAGCACGCTTGTGCTCCTGCGAAATGCACGAACAACCCTTCCCCCTTCGTGTTACATACCCCCTTAGAAGCCATGGTTTGGTATGGCTAGTATGGAATCTATTCATTTTGGGGGACCATATGGAAGGTATTTAGTATTAGGGGGATGGCAATGTCTGGCATGGCACCACCATAATAGGATGAACAGGGGTGAACCACCACATGTACTGTATCCACATATTCTGTTTAAACAAGCTTAAGTGCATTAAAATCGCAGTACCATACTAGTCTTGGTGATTGTGATAGTAATTGTCGAGTACTTCTTTGTAAGTAATTGTATCACCATACCTATTTGTACCAAAATTTGTGGTAGAACTGAATGATTCTTACGAG